GTGAAAGAAAATGCCCGACCATTCATTATGTAAACTCATTACCTGCTGTAGTTGTCAACTTTATCATCCAGGAATGTAATTTCGCAGACGCATCCAGTGGCCTGTGAGTAAATAGATTACTGTAAACAAGCAGGCGTCCCCTGCTATCAGTCATGTATTGATTGCAGTACACTGACAGCAGTAGCGGAAAGAAGAAATTGAAATCCAGGAATAGCTTACAAAACAAACATTCAATAATGAGATACTTCAGTGATGCATGACTCCTGATTAATACCTGCATTCCCCACAGCAGCAAGAGTAACAGTCTTCAAACAATCCTCCAACAAGTCCAACTGTTGAATATCAAACTCACCGTCCAACAGCCAAATAACTTTTAGTTTAGTCAGCACTTACAGGTGTTAAACTTAGTTCAAGTCCCAAAAGATGTCAGATGTCAAAAGTAGTAAAAATACCCATCACAACTTCCAAGTGAAATCTTCAACAGACCAAATCCCCAAAGAAAGTCAATGTCCAGTCGACGTTGGGTCAAGAAAAGAGGACAAACTTCCCCGCAGGGCAGAATGAACTTTGTCCATCTTAACTGTTAACACACACGCACAAGTGATAGAAACATGGTAACTCTAATCATTCGACATCATTCTTCCATTGTGCCACCACCAGCTGATTATGTGTCTTCAGAGCCGTGTAACAAATACTTCGGAGATTATAACGTTTGCCAATCACACACAATATAGTCTGTCATTGTCTGGCCGGGAGAAATGCAAGGCAAAGGCCGGGACAAGTCCACGTACTGCAGACACAAGCAGGGATGCACCAATCTGACTTTTTCAGTCCCCAATAATGTTGTGTCGTTCGCGAACGAATTGTTCAAAAGAGCAAATCTGTTGAGTGAACGTACTGAATTGAATCACTTCCGGAACTGATTTGTTCATTTCTCAGTTTAGTTGAGCTCACCAGCCAGCGTGCAGGCCGGGAGTGGAACTGCCGATTTGGTCCGTGCGAACGATGAATCACTCGCGAGTTGCGAGTCAGCCAGGGTGCAGGGAGGGACTGCCTACCGCGTGATGAATCACTCGGTGAACGAATCACTCAGTAAACAACGTAACCCTGATCCCTGAGTGATTCAAATCATTTCTTCTCAGTGATACACTTTCATAAGGACCGTTTTCTCCACGCTAATGGCTAATGTAGCCAGGAGTCAAGCCACATGAACACAACCACACACCTCCCATTGTTTAAACACAACTTAGTTTCCAGATAAACAAACTTAAAATGTTAGGTTGGCCAGTAATGAGACTCACCAGTGCAGGGCAGACGCAGCAGCAGTTCAGTCGTGTATCAGTTCAGTGAGTCGGACTATGCAATACACAGCAGAGTCCTGCATGGGTCCAATTTTCAAGATCCGCCCCGCCCCGACCCGGGGACGTACAAAACTGCACCCGAACCGCAAACCCGCGCATCAGGCCAATTAGTACCGCAACCCGGTCCGACTCGTTGAAACACGACCCGCAGCCCAACCCGTAACCCGGATTTAAAGTAATCATTTTGGGTCATATTGGCTGAATATTGAACAGCATATCGCCACAGTTAAGGTGCCAGTGAGTAAACAACGACCTGAATGAAGCAGCTCTCACAATAAAAACCTGACTTCAGCTCCATCATCAACCCTCTGTGTTCTTCTCCCATACGAGTGTAAAAGCACTCGTTTGTTACGTTTAATGCTTTTAAACGTTTAATCTATGTAAAGGAACTTTACATGTGTAATAATAGACTTACTTTCTGTCCAGAGCGACGATCAGCAGTTACGAGCCGTCGCATGTTTTTTAGAATCCATCGAGGAGAGAAGTAATCCATCAGGGAAACACTTCAGAAACATTATAAAGTGATAGTTGTACGTTTTATCCACTTATTTCTCAAATATCTAGATAATTATTTACTGTTTTGGAAGCGGCGCTTGTTAGACGGTGGCAGCCATATTGATTCTCTTGTCCAATCACAAATTGTGTTATTAGATGGTGAAACGCGTGTGAACAGCTGAACCAATGACCGTTGCGAAATAGCGGAGGCGATTCTCAGAGAGGAAATAATGACCAAGATAGTTATCTGTAGTTTAGTATTTTATATTAATTTTGATGTGTTTATGTAAAACCCGAGATCCGACCCGTATGTTATTTTTTCCACCCAGATCCGAACCCGGGAAAAACATTTTTTAAATTAAAAAAAAAAAAAAAAAACACCCGCAAATCAGCTGTTTTTGCCAGTGCAGGACTCTGATACACGGTCAGGGCTCCTCTCGCCAAGCACTGAATAATTCGGTGAACAAATCTTTTGAACGAATCTTTTTAATGAACTGATTCTAGTGATTCAGTAACATCTAAAGAACTGCTTTGCCCATCACTAGTCCCCAAATCCAAACCTGGGTTTTGGGAATTGGACGATATGGAGTACCAATCAAAAAGCAGTGCGTGACTGGAATCATTCTTAACTGTGTAAGGCAACATCAGGCTTGACTTTAACGTTGCGTGCCTCACTTTGTTAAAAAAAAAAACGCAGCCAAGAGATGCCTAGATATAAATCCACTGAATTGTTATTCAATATTAAAATAATAAATCCAGAAATTCCAGTAAAAAAAAAAAAAATACAAAAATAAGAACAAACATTAAGTCACAAAAACGTGTCGACATTTAGTGCAAATAGGAATTTAAATTCCAATATAAAATCACGTCAGAGCTGAAATTATTAAACACAGAACTGAACTGAATAGATCAGCCCAACTGTCAATGATCTGAGTCAGTATTGGCCCAATATCCAATATCAGTATCTGTTCCGTTCATCCCTAAACACAAGCTACTCCAAGTGCACCGGTGCACGTGCACACCCATCTGCTTCTTAACAGCTTAGTCTGATTAAGAATGAAATTTAATCTATGCATTAAAACTCAGGCAACAGGTGCCAATCTGTCCTTGTATCATAGAAGAGGAAGTCACATGGAAGAACTCTGCTTTTGCTCCTCTCAAGTGCAGCTACTGATTTAAGACAGCATGTCTATGATCTAAATTAAGCTACACATGGAAACACACCGGTTTTTGTACCCATGTTAGATCATATAGATTCCTGCAGTGGCTGAATCAACAATCACAAGCCATGGAAGTCAAAATCAAAGTGCCTTTAATACAATCGGAAGTATTTCACGTCAAATAAACAGAACTAGGAATTTGTTATCTTTATTTCAACTAATGCCATCAAATATCGTTCTGAGTCTGCACAGAAACCACAAACTGACCTGTTAGCCGCCCAGCATCTTGTTCTGGCCCTGGATCAGTAAGACATTTTGGGTTGGACCCAACATAACACCCTGACACAGCTAGGGATGTAATGATACCTTGATCTGGGTCAATGTATTGTTCAGTGATCAACAATCCAATATCACTGATGCAAGGTGAAAACATCAACATGTAGTCATCTTTAAGATATACTTTTATTTTGAAATACCAATGGCACACATGTGTCACCGTTTCCCTCCAAGCACACCTCCTTCCTAAAGATTCAAACAGTGCTAAGGCTCAAGCACCAGGAAGATGGTGGGTAAGAGCCCGGAAAAAGACAAACAAGGACATCGTCTCGTATTGATTGGAGGCGCCCGACTTGAATCGGAATCATGCCGTCGCAGACTTTGTGATATCTGCAAACATCGCATTGGTATCCAAAGAATCAACAGAATATTGTATCATGATGAAACTTGTGATGCATCCCCAGTACAACCAGTCATTTCTTATCCATACTAAAAAACTAAAACCTCCAGTTGTTTCCTGACAACCGTCTTCCATTCACCTACGTTACTATGACATATGAAACAGCCTGTGTGGAAGTAGTGACCCATGTCTCTCAAAACAACTGCATTCAAAAGAAACCTTATCTTAAGATGGACTCATTTAAGCAGCTTAGCACAGTTTAACAAAAGCCCGTGCTCTAACGATCACCAATCGATACCCACAACAGATTGTCTCCACACACACACACTTGGACATCAGCGCACTGTAATTCGGCATGCTCGGATCGGCCTGTGTGCCAGGCAATTATCCCAGCACCTCCTAACCCTCGACCTGTTGCTATAGAAGCACCTTGTTTGTGAGTAACTGGTCGAGCAAGGCTTGAGGACAGTGCGTAGCCAAGTAATGGTTCAGAGATCATCATCTGCTTTATCGTGATTCAAACAACATCTGAACTTATTTGCAACACTTAAGTGATTTATTTGTGTTGTTCTGTTGTTGTAAATTGTACATAATTCACAATTTTGTAACACTCCTTAGTCTGGAACTCTTATTTAATGATGCAATCTTCATTTTTAACATCTTCTTTTTATGTGTGATTGTTGTTCTGACCTCTCGTGCGCACATAAACTGAATATCATGGCATATATCAAGATGAAATTCCCTTTAGAAACAGAAGCACATAGTAGACTACTATGACTTTAAATGACAAGGTAGCACTGGTAATACAACTTGCTTATCTGTAGGATTATTTCAACACTGTAGCGGGTTTAAATTAAAGAATTTATTTGTCTTCTGTCACAGACTAAAACTCCTCCATCTAGTAGGCAAATACAGCAAATAACAGGAGGGGCAAATGTACAGGTAGTTTGCTCAATTAGAAGTGGCAAAATTTGATATAATGCTTAATTAAATTTTCAGTTTTATCCAAATTAAACAGTTTAAACTGTGTGTGATTGAGTGCTAGAGCTCTCAATGAAGTGTTGGTGACAAATTACATTTCACAACTTATCCAAATATTGTTTAATAAAACTTTTAGTGACCCAGATTGACTCTAGGTGAGTGTATTCAGACACAGGCTGGGTTTGGGGGTCCTGACGCCCCGGCTTCATTGCATAACTCCTGGAGGACAAACAGCCAGACAAGTGAAATGCGACGGGCTAATCCTCCTCTGGCAGACAGATGAGATAAGAAGTGGGACACGGAGTTAGTGACGGGCGGCTGTCTTACCGTACTTGTTGGGCTCCCTGTTGTACTCCAGGATCGGCACCACGACGTTGGGGTCCTGCGGCTCGAACACGGAGTCCTCCCCCGCCTCCTTCTCCTCCAGTGTGCCGCCGCCGCCGCCGCTGCTGCCGCTGGAGTCCCCTGCCGGGTCAGCGACAACCGCGTCCGAGTGCTCCCCCTCCCCGGGGACCCCAACTCCTCTGCCAACCGGGACCACCACAAACCTTTCCCCCATGTCCCTCCTTCTGTCCTCCCCTCTTCTCTAGACTTTTAACGGAGGAGCGAACACACGCTGTCCGGCTCACCTCTGCGGTTCACACTCAGCGAGAGTGAACACACAGGACAGCGTACCGCGGAACACACACATGCTCACGAGCCGATCAGAGGATTGATTACAGTACACACGTGCCCGCCCCCCGCCTTCTCTCATTGGCTGACAGGGCCGAGGAGCGCTGTCAATCACCCTCAGGAGCCAATCAGAGTGTTGGAAATTTGTTAATTGTAAAATGGGCGAGTTCTGATATTTGCATCAAATTTAATAGTGTCCTCCCCAAAGTTCAATATCTCTGTAATATTTATTTATCAAAATAAATAAACTAATTTTCCAAGACTGTGTGAGCAAAATAATTTCATAATTTTTTTTTTATTAATGTCATATCTGTTAAAATACGTTTTCTTTAACTAATCAATAAATTAATTAATTTATTTTATTTTTTGTATATTTTGCAGTGGATCTCTAAACTATATATCTGTTAAAATCTTTTTAATTTTTTTTCTATTTTATTTTATTTATTCTTAATTTAATTTAATTCAATTCAATTTAATTTAATTTAATTTTGTTTTATTTTTTGGACCGGCAGGGTGGCGTTGGAGTGAAGGGTTGTATACAAGAAAAAGAAAAAAAAAAGTCTTGTCTATGTTCACAAAATTTCAGTGTACTGTACTTATAAGATGGATACATACATCTGTTAATACATTAATTAATTAATTAATCAATCAATTTATTTATTTATTTATTCATTTATTTTGTATATTTTGGAGTGGATCTCTGAACTATATATCTGTTAAAATACTTTTTTAAATTTAATTTAATTTAGTTTATTCTTTATTTTATTTTATTTTTTGGACCAGCGGGGTGTGGTGGGAGAGTTGGAGTGAAGGGCTGAAATAAAGCAGAAGGTCACTAAATTTCAGTGTACTGTACTTATGAGATGAATAAATAAATCTGTTTAACAAAATTTTCTTTCATTAATAAAAATATTTATTTGTATATTTTGGAGTGTATTTCTAAACTCCACTCCTAATAATAGTAATAATAATAATAATAATAATAATAATAAACTTAATATATATATCCCACCTTTCAAAACACAGTTACAGTTAGCTAAGTGCTGTACAATAAAACTAGACACATTAAAACACAAAGAGAATAAATCAAATTACACATCATAAAATGTCAGCTAAGTAAAAGCTAAAATAAGGACGGCCAAAACTAAAATCGAGATAATAAATAGGAAATAACATCAATAAGAAAGCAATAAAATAGACAGATCAGATAAAGTCAGGATGTGCTTTCTGATTAAAGTACATTTTTAGAAGAGACTTAAACAAAGACAGTGACTGGGACAGCCTCATATCCTCAGGCAGGTCGCTCCAGAGCCTCTGGGCCCTGATTGCAAAGCTCTGTCCCCTTTGGTCTTCAGCCTGGACTCTGGAACAGGCAGAAGACCACTGCCTGAGGATCTCAAATTACGCAGAGGTTCACAGGGCACTAACAGGTCTGACATGTAATCTGGAGCCAGGCCATGAAGAGCCTTATATCTAAATATATTAAGTTTGGTTTATGCCTTTTAAATAAAGGTAGACCAACAAGCAAAACAATGCACCCAAACAGAATACTCATATGAAACAGTGCCCTGCTGCAGCACATGTACTGGCATCTCACACTAGACTTATTACAAGCTTTTTTAATGGTCTCAAAACGATGGGGTAATTAACACTCACTCTGCACATCCTCCACTATCAATAGCCTGCCAAGGAAACTCAATAAATCATTCTAATTTAAAAATCAGCAATGGTTTAGTCATTTGCCAACACCTCGCCATAACAACTTTGGTATGTTACAGCTTGGAATAAACTGTTTGTCAGGATAGGGTGACCTCTCATGTTACCCGGCAGTTTTTGGTACGTGCTTTAGTCTGGTCTCAAAACTCTCTGTTATGCAAAAGACAAAATCTGAGTTATGTAAATTTTGAAAGGTACTCTGTCAAACATTCTCCATGTAGTCAATACACACAGAAACAGCATATCTCTTGCGTTTTTTTGTCTTTCACTTTAATATCTGCTTTTAATTTAGTCTTTGAGTAAGCCTCTGTCTCTGTTGGTTTCATAGAAAACAGATGATCATCTGGTGCGGGAAATCCCAGATCAAGATCACCACCCCAATTCAATTAATTGTTCTTGGGGCAAAGACCCATCTGTTCACCAAATTCAAGGGGAATCCATCTGCATCTGAAAAAAGTAGGAGGGTTGAAAACATACCCCCTTCATTAAAATTACATAAGCAGCAGCAGTTGCTTTCCTGAACTGGAACACACCCTGACATAATAGTTTGTGAGGCATGGAAATGTCAGGTCAGTAGGTCAGACTGAAGATCTTCAGTGGCTGTGATTCCTGTAAGACAGATACCCCTTGCAATGGTGTCATGGGGAATAAAAATATGGTTTGGCATAAAGCCTGTTATCTTTTTGGACAGAAATTCAGTTGTTATTGATACAATAGAACACCCTACACTGATGCATCGCACATATGGATGTGATAAATCAATATATGACTGAATGAATTCTGTTGAAGTAAAGAGTCATACTGTAAGATTCCTTGACCATGGACATGAAGCTCTAAGATGGGACACCACTCATTGTTGTCAGGGGTGCAGTCAGAGAGGTGGTCAGGGGTGGCAAGGTGGAACGTTAACTTGTAATGTTACTCAATGCATGAGGTGAAGATATGAACCCAGACTTCCATCTGTGTCACCGTTAATGAGGAAACACAGTGAGTGCTGGACGGAGCAGTGAGTGACAACAACAACGCCCACATTTAAGAGGACTGTTTGCAGTGGAAACACTAGGATCTAGGTACCATGTCTGAAGGGTTACTGTTGGTTCCAAAGGTACTATACCGAAAGTGTGTCATGGAAGTGGGGCTTAAGTGAGGATGTTCCTTTAAATCCGAGTAAAGTGTCCCTTAAAAAATTGGTTGCACAAAACACCCTTAAGTCTTGTCCTTAAGGTTTCCTTATGATTTTTTCTTCTCTTGGTCTTATACTTAAGGAATTGCTTAAAGTTTACTAAAAGAATGGCACAAAGGACCTTATCGACCAAAGTAAGGAAAAATACACAAGGTAAGTCTGACTTCATCTTCACTGCAACATGGCTGAGTTTATGGCGATAAATGAGGAAAATTAAGGCATCCTGAGAAGAGTGATCTGTGATCCTTGATCCGGAGAGCTCAGTGGACACCCTTATTGATGAGCAATTGATTTTGCATGAGAAATTTGACCCCACGTCAATTTACGATTGATTTCAACACCTGGATTTGGATCACTCAACTGTCCGAAGCTGCGCTCTTCCATTTCCTTTACTATTAATGATTGATCTGTGGTTTTATGCAACGGGATCTTTCCAATCAGTTATTGGCGAGGAATTTCATGTGCACAAGTCAACAGTGTGCCACGGCATTCACTGGGTTTCAAACACCCTCACCTGTCTGATGAACACCTGGTGAATTCCCCGTCCAAAAGCTGCAATTTCTTCCCACATTTGTTGCTTCATGTTTGCTGTTATTTTCAAATCAAGTTTACTTTTCAGTCTGTTCTTTCTTTCATTGAATTCCTCTAGAAGTATGATTTATTTTCCCCTCCAACAAATATGGCCAACTTTGTTCAAGCAGACAAATGGTCTCCATGGAAACAGTTGAAGTTTACTGCTGTAAAATCACTTTCAGTACAGTAAATGCCTTAATGTCTTTCCATGACTAAGAAAACCTTTTAAGAGATTCAGTGCAACACCCTCAAGAAATGTCCTCAGCTAAGGAAAAACTAAACCTTAAGTGTCATACTTAAGGGGCAAACTTAAGTTGCTTTGTGCAGCCGGCCCCCTATACTCTACAGTCTGTTCATATATGACTGTGTCGCCAAATATCACAGTAACGGTACTGTGAAATCTGCAGATGACACCACAGTGAATGGAATGATAAATGACAACAATGAGGATGCCTACGCGGAGGAGGTGAAGGACCCAACTATATGGTGTCAAGACAATAACCTCTTCTTAAATGCTGAGAAGACAAAGAAGATCATTGTTAATTTAAGGAAGTCCAAAACTATTCAGCCACCAGTTTAACTCAACAACATATCTATTGAAATTGTGATTAACATCACATTCTTAAGCATTCAGATCTCAGACTCCCTCTCCTGGTCTCTACACACCAAGTCATGAAGAAGGCACAGCAGAGACCAATCTTTCTGCTTTGCCTCAAGACATATAAGATACCCACTAAAACCCTAGTCAGTTTCTATCAGGCTGTAGAGAGCGTCCTTACTGGTAGCATACTGGAGTGGTTTGGCAACCTGAGGAGCACAGTAAAAACTGCCACAGATTCAGGACATTGAAGGAAAGCCCTTGGCGTTATGTAGGACACAGGTCACCCAGCACGTCACCTCTTAGCATACCTACCCTTGGGTAAACCAATACATTCGCACTCCAACCTTGTCTCATTGACGTTTGGTCATGGACTTTCCACGCAGAGATATGACGTCCAAGGTACCCTAGGTGCGTTGGTTATTGATGTTCTGGCACGCTGTGTCAGCTTCAGCCTGTTACATGCATTGTCAGTTTACAAAATACACTTTGGTTTTCACAGGAAATGTACAGTTTGCATATGGTCTCTTCCAAAATAATCGCACTATGTTGGTACAACACCACAAACTGACTTTTTTTTTTTGCCTTCAACAACACACGCACACGATTGGGTTTAGAAAACAAGGATTAGGCTTTACAATCTTTCGGGAAGCGAACACCCGCCTCCCACTTAAAAGTCAGTGGCTGTTGGATCCATTCACCATCTCTCCTGCCCGCCGTACTCGGACTTCCGCCACCTTAAAGGGATAGTGCACCCAAAAATGAAAATTCAGCCATTATCTACTCACCCATATGCCGACAGAGGCTCAGGTGAAGTTTTAGAGTCCTCATATCCCTTGCGGAGATCCAAGGGGAAGCGGCTAGCACGCCTAATGGCAGACAGCGCCCCAGACTAACGTCCAAGAACACAAAATTGAAACCACAAAGTATCTCCATA